TCGCGGTGCTCCTCGATAGCTCGTTACTGACCAGGGGCCGATAGTTTTTATCTTGCGTTGTCCAGGATCTTGTGCGTTCCTGTTCCACGAACCACAAGTTCACAACGGCATACATTCACAAACTAATGGACTTACAGAGCGCCTGAATCTCACTATCACCGACATGTTGATGTATGTTTCTGCATACCCCTGCGACTGGGATGCAACGTCGCCCTACGTCACCTTTGCTTACAACTCCTCTAGACATGACACCACAGGCTCTTCCCCGTTCTACCTTCTTTATGGACGTGAACCCTCTCTGCCTCTCGATACACTCCTTCCCGCTGGTTCAAGCTCCCCTGTCACATACGTCCGCGATGCCATAGAACGAGCCGACGGAGCACGACAGATTGCCCGAGAACGACTCACCACTTCTTAAGCCTCGCAGAAAAATCTGTACGATCGTCACCACCGCGAAGTTTCGTAGCACCAGGTTCACTAGTACTCTTTGGACCCCCTGTCGTCACATCGGCCTCTCGCAAAGCTCTTATTTCGCTATGAGGACCATACAAAGTCCTACGCAAGGTCACTAACCTCACCTACGAGATACGGCGAGTCGTCCATACGGTGCACTCAACGCCACCACCATCTACTGTTGTGCACGTCATAAGACTGAAGCCTTATATGTCGCCCAACACTTTAACGTCGCGGGGTAGTGCCACAAGGCAGTAGTGGATTGAGGCATAAAGCAGTAAGGGTCTCTGCTTGGAAGCAAACTACGAGAAGTGGATAAAGACTGGTCCCAGCCCGCGAGTGTGTCAGCCATTGCCATCGCAAGTAAACATCGTATATATCCGCAATCATGCGTTTTCTTGTAAGATTATAGTCATGTTTTCTTCCACCTTTGCTGATCATCTGCAACGCCTAGATGAAGTACTCGCATGTCTCTCGAATGCTGGACTTCAACTAAACACAAAGAGTCCCAGAACTTTTACAGCTGTGTTGCCGAAATGGCACATCTCGTTAGTAAAGATGGCATCCAGCCCAATTCAGAAAATTTCCGCACTACTCAATTTTTCGCGCCCCTTTCTTTCCAAAGAACTACGCAGTTTCCTTGGACTCGCATCATACTTTCGCCTCTTCATTCGCAACTTTGCCACCATTGCCGCTCTCTCCACAAGCTCCTTGTTAGTACTGGTTCCTTCGATTGGAGTTCTTGACATGGGGCCTTGCACTGATCATTCAAGCACGCACTGACATCCCCACCGGTGCTTTGTTATTTAGATGACAAGGCTGTTACACAGCTGACGCTAGCGGACAAGGAATCGGTGCCGTACTCCTCTATCGCGACCATGTCTTTCGCGAGAAAGTTGTCGTGTATGCAAGCCGCACTCGACCTCTGCACACAAGAGGTACTCGATAACCGAACAAGAGTCCTTGGCTGTTGTCTAGTTCCTCCAAAATTTCGTCCGTATCTACATGGTCGACATTTTGCTGTTGTGACAGACCACCATGCTCTTTGCTGGTTGTCGACAATCAAAAACTTGTTGGGGCGACTTGGCCACTGGATTCTCCAGTTAAAATCGTATGACTTTGGCATCATCTACAAGACCGAAAGACAACACCGAGATGCCGACGCTTTGTCACGATGCCCTTTGCCGCAATCTTCGGCGCACGTCACATTCCCTTGTCAAATTGGCTATGCGGAGGACGCCTCGTCGATATCATCCATTTCTTCCCTACCTTCATCCACCCATCCTTCAGTACTTACCACTCACCAGTGAGACGATTCTTATTGCACTGACCTCATCGGTTGGCTTACCGGTGCTTCATCTTTCCCAAATGCCAGGCTCTGGAAACAACTCAGACTATTCAAGTTGGAGGACATTGTGTTCTATCGATACATTTTCCACACTAAAGGCCATCGATGTGTTCCCCTCGTACCCCGCGCACTACGCACTCAAGTTCTGCGCGCTTCACGCGACGTCGGGCCACTTGGGTTACTACAAAACATACGAGCGCATCTGCAGTCGATTCTTCTGGCCAGGTCTTTCCACGACGATAGCTAAGTATATTGCCTCGCGTGCACTTTGCCAACACCGCAAGCGCCCACTACGGCTCCATCGGGACCCTATAGCCACTTTCTTGCCCAGCAGAACCGTCTCTGTCGTCGGAATTGACCTCTTTGGGCCCCTCCTAACTACATCGGACGGCAGAGATAGATCGTCACCGTGGTCGATCACTTCACCCGATACGCTGATACGGCCTCAATCACTTCAGGAACTGCTTCCGAAGTAGCAAGTTTCTTCTTGAATGCTATTTACCTACATCACGGAGTCCTTCATGTCTTTTGAGAGACCGGGGCAAGGCCTTTCTTTCAACCACGCTCAGTGAAGTTCTTCAAGCATCAAAAACAGTTCATAAAAGATCTAGCTATCACCCACAAACCAATAGCTTAACGAAAAGATTTCATCGCACACTGTGCGACATGCTTGTCCATGTATATCCGACCGGATCATCGCAATTGGGATGCCATTCTTCCCTTTGTCACGTATGCAAATAATACGTCAGTTCAACGAACCACATTCTCCATACGGACGCCAACTGGCATCGCCACTCGACGTTTCATTCTTTTCTGGCCCCGTCAACTCTTCACCATTCGTTTGCGACCAGTTTCTGTCCAGTGTTGCTCAATGCCGTCTTGTCTGTGTAAACACCGAAGCTAGCCAAGAAGATCGCAAACATCGCTACGATGCCACTCACCGCGTCGTTCTCTACCGCCCTGGTAACAATGTACTGCTGTGGACTCCTGCACGACGCCTGGCTTATGCGAGAAGCTCGAGTCACGCTATCTTGGCCCCTACAAAGTTGTCGAACAGACCTCGCCGGTGAACTACCGTGTCACACCAGTTCATGCACCCACTGACCAACGCTGCCGCGGGACAGAGATTGTGCACATTTCACGTCTCAAGCCCTATCGTATGTGTTCCACAGCGCAATTGGCGGTCAGGCTGGCCGCTTCCGTCGACGGGGGAAAATTAATTTAAGAATTCGTTGGACTTCATCTGTCAATAACCATCAGTTTTCGCATCGTTCCTCTTCATTATCGGCGTCATCTTGCTGTTGCTTGACTAAAGCGCCAGCTGAACCGTGGTATTGCAATATATATACATATACATATGCTGAATAGCGGCAAGAAAATAAGCCTACCTAGTCTATATAGTTGTATATCATAATAAATAAAAAAGGCCAGACTCGTTTTGGCATTCCTCTGAAAAGTAAGAATCTAGTAGTGAGCAAAGCTTTGACACACGCTTTTGCGACAGCCAGCTGCGTAGTCTTGTCCGCTCACGTGTGTCCCGGGAAGACTTAAGCGAGTTGTTTTGATGGAAATGAATTCTGTTAGTTGTGTTGAGACTTTCACCTTAGTGGGGAACGCTACTCTTTCACCTTAGTGGGAAACCCTACCCTAGTGTGTTTGGCCTCTCCAATTCACCATAAAACTGCAACGCTGATAGTGGCGCTTGCAATTCAGATCCCTCCCTCCCCCTTGTTTCTTTTTTTTTTGTGATGTTTGTTTGTTTGTTTTCGTTTTTTTGTTGGTGCTGAAAAAAAAAGTCGACACTTGGCAAGTATGTAACCTAATATTATGTTAGGAGTAATCCAAATAAACAGCCATGCATGCTTGCGTAAATACATTTCATTTAGCATGTGGTACAACGGCTCCGGCTTCGAGGCAAATGTTCGTGTCCAAAAATGTGCAGCAAGTATTTGCTCCAAATGGTTGTTATGCTGCTCCGAAGTGCTATTTTAGTTGCTCCAGAAGCTGTGCCCAAATGGCTTCGTTCAATCGCATCACTAATTTACTGATGGCTGCTCTAGATTTTACCATATACAATCCTAGATTATCACAGTGATGCTATGCAGCAATCTAGTGAGGGAAATATACTTTTTAGTACGGCTCATTCAGTGGAAGCATTGGTTTAATACATACTCGGGTCTGATCGCCCTCCAGGAGAACTTATCTGCGCTAGTGCCTATAAATAACATTTTGCCATGGTCTTGTAATATATAGGTCTTCATAGATTTGCCCTGCTTTTGGGTATGGTTGCATTTCTTTCCAAATCGTTTATTGTCTAAGACTGATCAGCGGCTTTGCATGCGAGAAACAAACATTCTGATATAGGTAATAGTGCTGATGTGGGTGATTGTTTTGGCAGAGCTGATGTACAGATCCTGATGTGTCTGATGTGCTGATGTAGCTCTGACATGCTGACGTAAAGACGCTTATGTACGTGATGATGCCTTGTACTCATTGCACGAATCTGATGGTGAAATCCTAAAGCCTCCAGCCTGTGTACAGCCAGTGCTGAGCCCTCATGTTTTTTGGTCACAGCCTCGGCATCTAGTGCTACCGCAGTATAGTTGCACTGCATTGTCAGCGGTCAGGGTTGTGTGTGGTTGCGTTTCCCTACAAACTGCACACTGTCTGTGGCTGACATGCAGTGGCTTTGCACACTACAGAACAGGATGCTGTTAGGTGTTTGGTCGCAGTTATGATGTTTGTTGACTCAATCTGTTTCATTCAAGTCACTGGTACAAGTTAACGCAAGTACAGTTTTGCCATCTCGCATAAGGTGTCTATATAGTTCGACACAACTCTAGAAATATGTGGCATGCCCTCCTCAAAGGCTGGTGCACACAGCCGGGCACAAATGTACGCGCACTCTATAGTAATATCTGGAGCCAGGCAGCCAGTGACCCTGCGTTGAGATAATGTTGCCAAGTGCATCAGAGAGACTATGTCTTGATTTCAGGGAGGCAATCGGCTGCAACGCTCGGTCATATGGCACGGAGCATCTTAGAGCTTCTCGGGTTGGACTGGGCTACTGTACGCACGTGTTTATTTAGAGTGCGAGTGCTATTCTTTTGGCAGAGAATGTTTGCTTACAGCGTGTTTGTGCTAAATACTGGCCGAGTGGTTTAGCGAATGTGTCTTGCTCTCTTGTGTGCACCCACAGCCCGGCAGCAAACAGTGTGGCAGAGCAGCGGCGCAAGCGCATTCAAGAGCTGGAAGATCGTGTTAGCCAGCTGCGCAAGAAGGTCGACGAGCAGACCCGTGTGATCAGACTCAAGGAGGATGCGGAGCGCAGTGCCAAGAAGCTCCAGCAGGAAATCTCTGTGCGTACCGTCTTTCATTTGCCGGGCTGCCTGTCCAAAGTGAAGCTTCCTCTGTGGGGTTCAATGTTAAAGTGCTCAAGGGGCTTGCATTTTCCTATCTTGAAACTTGCAATCGCCACCTTCTTTCATGAATGCTATGTCAAACTGATAATGTGCATGCTATTCGTGACCAGGAAATGCCGGGCATGCAGTGATAATGCAATAAAAGGCAGTAGGATATCTGATAAGAAGGTGTCTTTTCCCACGCCGATACTTTCTTCTTTAGTGTTTGATGGCTTCGATGCTGCCGTGTGGGACTGGGCTATGTTGAAGACATTATCTTTCAGTTTCTGGGATTACAGCTGAGGTTTTCTAGGTACATGATAAGAGCACCACCATCTGTCTAGACTAATGAAGTATTCTTTCAGACCTTTTATTTATAGCAAGGAGGAAGGTACTGTATGACTAACATGTAGTCATAAAAGTTGGGCTTTTAGGTACAGTTTTACGTATATTCTAAGCAAGCCTTATGAGCAGCTTAAGTAGTTACTAGTGAAACTAGCCAGACAAATAATACACGGACATGAGTTGAAGGGGCAACTGACATAAAATTTCAAAGAGAGAGATAGTAAGTACGTAGATTTATGGAGAGGCATAAGCATACATGAAATATCAAAGGCAAAGATAACCTATTACATAGTCAAAATTGATTTTGAAGTGCATGCTGCATGACTGAGCGAGGTTCAAAACCTTCTCACAACACGGACATCAATGCGGTGAGTGTGTGAACAAGCCTGCATAATGAGTTGGTGGTTAGCTGTTGGCTTGGTAGTTGGCACACATCTTGCGCTTTCGCTACTTGCGACTTCTTCCTTTGTGTCTGTGACTTTGCGTGTGCTGGCTTTACTGGCTGTCAGTGCGGTACACACTCTCGTGCGTGGCACCCGCGTCACAGTTCTGTGCAGTCACGTTGCCAGCTGTGTTTGCAACCGGAGCTGCTTGTGCCCAGCTCGGTGCTCTTTGAAACCTAAATTGCAACTGGGCATTCTAAAAACATTTGTAATTGGATAACTGTCACGCACTCATGCAAACGAGGTTTCCAGCCATGAAAAGGAAAGCGGGTTGTAAGCTACCTATTCCAACAACAACAAAAAAGGTGTAAAAAGGTGTAAAAAGGTGTCAATGCTTCTTTAAAAATGACGACACGATAGTTTTGTACCGGTGTCTCTTTTCATCCATGCTGATTTCACTAGTACAATAAAAAAAAAATCTGAAAGAACCAGGAAAACGTGTTCTCTAGACTCTCTCACAGTGAAAAAAACTGCTGTCAAATCGGATTGAAAACGGTACGAAACCATTTTAAAGGCAATTGTTTCACTTGAGCAGCAATTCTGCTCTGTAGACTTGCACTTACTGAGGGTCAGTGTAACTACCATAGTAATGTTGAAGACCGATTGATGCAAAAGTTCGGGACTAAACAAATATTTAGCTTCCTTTGAGATTTATATACTAAGATTCTTGGTTGGGAAAACCCTACCTGTGTTGTTTATCAGGTATTATAGACCTTATGCAAAATTGCTGTCATTTGTCGGCTGTCGTATGCACACTGCCATGTTACAGGCTCGAGCGCGGGGCAGTCTGCAGTAGGTGTTTGTTTGCGTATTTATATACGTAATGCATATCGACATGAGGCATGTATTGGCTGATAATCGCAATGCCGACATATTGCTGCATCTCTGAGACGAACTCTGAATGCTAAAGGAATAAAAATATGCCGTGAAACTTCGCCGCATGTTGTTTTTTCAAGCTGATGACGTTTCCAGTATGGGTTCCGGCTACTGCTCCCAAAACTCGTGTTTGCATTCTCCTTTCTAAGCAATTAAGCAAGATGTGCAGTGTCATGTGTACTCGTGTTCCATCAAATTGCTGGACACCAGAGCAAAAGCAGTTTTTGCAATGTTTTCATCAACAGCTGTTTAACAAGTGAAGGCGACTCGTATTCAATTTTTTGCATGGTGCTAGTTAGACTTCAAGGTCAGCATCACTAAGAAAAAGCTCTTGGGACATGTACGAGACACAGACAACCACATAAGCATGACAAGTTCTTGCGCAGTCGCAGCAATTGAGGAGTTGCTTTGATAACTCTCTTTAAAAACATGATGAAGCTTGTCGTTAAAGGTAAAATATAAATCCTTAGAAACTCGTACCTTCCTTGCTCCAAAGGTTTTAATAGTAATCTCTGTGTCGCCAAATTGGCAAGTGTGCAGTGTAGCAGACTGTTGTAAGAACTTGAGTGGCTCATCGTGCAAATGTTTGCTCATCAAACGCATGGCGCTTGGTGCTTTTCAGAACATGAAGCAGGCCAGAGTGCAGCTCATGAAGCGAATGAAGGAAGAGTCCGAACGCCACAGGCGCCAGCAGACGGAGTGCAATCGCGAGGTCCGGGCCTTGCGGATGCGCCAGCAGCAGCAGTCGGCACAGATGGCTCGCATGGAGCGTCAAAATGCCATGCGCATCAACGTGCTGCAGCGACGTATGGAGGAGGCCCTGGCGGCGAAAAACAGACTCGAGGCTGCTCAGCGTCGCCGCCTGGAGAACCGTGCCAACGCCAGCGGGTTCGACAGCATGGCGTTGCGCGTCAAGGCACGTGTTCCAGGGGTTAATGTGCAAGCAGGGCTCATTAAAAATGTCATCTTACAGCATTTGAAAATTGAATAAGGCAGAAGGTCGGGGGAAGACGAAAGCTTGAGGAGATAAAAAATTCTTGAACAAAGTGTGTAAAGGAAGCCAATGTTTTCGCAGGCAGTCTTGCTACTTGCCGCCTTGAATGAAATATTGCTTGGTGAAACGTTACCTTCAACGATGTCTCTGTGTTCAAGAATTTTTCATCACTTGAAAACAGAGCACCTGAGCATTTAAGGAAAGCCATTCCTGGTCTCGAGACCTGTACTAGGCCTATTATCAGCACACTTTTTTTTGTCTCCTTTTTTTTTTCACACATAATGTGAGTGGCCTGATGCAATTGTACCCTGCTACATTTAAGTCTTCACATAATACCTGATGAGCAGTATCTAATGCCATGCTATACATGGCCTCTGTAAGTGGTGCACAGTTTTCTCAGCAAGAAGTTAAGTTAAATAAAATGCACCAGTGTGGCAAGCAGCGCTGTTCAAAAAAGTACTGGCATCTTACAATTAGCGTACAGGCACAAAAGCTGTATTGCAAGTAGTAGCAGTAGGTTTTTACATTAGTAGACTCATCTGTAATGGATTAGATTTGTGAAAAGGCTCACTATGCTTCCACTTGTACTCGGTAATCGTTCTCGTGCATGCTTATTTAGAAGTTCACTCAATTTAATTTAGTGAAGAGTAGTAGAACCTCGTTTATACGTCACCCCACGTTTACGGCGAAGCCCCCATAGAAATAATGCAGGACGTGGCGGCGACGTTTACGACAGAGGTGAAGATGCTTAAGGTCCATGGATTTATAAGGTGCATGTCAAAGAACCGAAGGAGGACGAAATTTTCAAAGCCCTCCACTGCGGTTTCTCTTATAATCGTATTGAGGTTTTGTGATGTTAAACCCAATCATCAAATGTAGTGAAAACCTTGGTTATACAACATAATTTTTTTGTTGACCCCACATTTTATGACTCTCTTATACTATTTGAGGAAAAAACATCAATCTTTCCACTCTAATCTAGAGCAGACCAAACTTCAGCAGAAGCAAAATAAGAACTCGCATGCCCTTCAATTGAAGATTAGAAAAAATGGTGAATCCTGTAGGATATACCTTATTAGAATGAATTATTTATTTTCCTGGCTATTCGTGTACTCCTAGCTTTACAATCGCCCCGCCGTGGTGGTCTAGTGGCTAAGGCACTCGGCTGCTGACCCGCAGGTCACGGGATCGAATCCCGGCTTCAGCGGCTGCATGTGCTCAGATTTGGGCGCACGATAAAGAACCCCAGGTGGTCGAAATTTCCGGAGCCCTCTACTACGGCGTCTCTCATAATCGTATGGTGGTTTCAGGATGTTAAACCCCACGTATCAATCAATCAATCTAGCTTTACAATCTTTTTGGGCATGCCTTGATACCATATGTATTCCGGGGCCTTTACCTACACAAGCTCATTCTACACAAAGCAGCTTCAGATAGCGACACACCTCATCTTTGGTATCGGAGTATTTTCACATTTTTGACCTGTGGAAACTTCCTTTGGAGGACGTGCAACTGAAGATCTGCTCGCTTTGCTTGAGACGCTCGTGGTCGCAGGCTTTGAGCGCACAAAAATAATGTGACACAGCTATGTTCGATGTGCAAAATTACTTTATCTGGACGTGAGCATTCATAAAGGCGGCGTATCACCGATTGCTCTTCACAAAGGAACAAATACGATGCGGGCAGTTCAGTTGCGCACAAACTCGTCCTACTCACACTGGCAACAAAATGTCCTCCTTTGTCATGAGGTGGTGGCAACGGCACTGTATCTTCCAACAGGAGGCTGCTGCCAACCAATTTTGGTTTAATCTTCACATGCTGGGAATTTTCAAATTTGACTGACTGGATGAAAGATGTGCATTGATTTTGATTTTTTAATTTGAGAATACATGTTCGCCTGCGTCTCCTCTGATTAAATGTTTAGCAGTTATTGTTAAAAATCATTTAATCTACCTTCCTCCGAGTAGTGCAGGGAAGTGTGGTAGGCTTTTTCATGCAGTCTGTACCCGTTTTTTGGGCAAGGCTGTATGTTGCTGCCTATATGGTTAGTTTTTCGACTCTGTGATTTCAGGATTACCTATGCTACAGCTTTGCGTGGTCCCTTAAAGGGACATTAAATAGGCTGAAACTTTTTTGCACTCCCCAAACAAGCTCGCCAATTCGTACAGCAGACCACCACCATCACATTTTCTGTTTCGAAAAACGATTTCCGGGCCTCTTTCTTTCTGACCAATCTCTCTTGTACACTCAGTGATGCAAGCCTATCTATTGGCAACTTGACGTACCACTGAGTTCTTTGATTGGTCATTGGCCCTACGAAACAGTCCAGTGCTTCGATGCAGTTTTGGTGCAATTCGATGCAATTCGAATTTTCGCCCTCTGCCATTTTGTAGAGCTCAAGACTACTGGGAAAATCAGTACAGTAAAACCTCATTATAATGAAGTGGGAAATAACGAACTATTGAATATAACTAAGCAATTTTAATTCCCCTTGAAGTTCTCATGGATGCCAATATATTTAAATCTTTGCTTTAATGAAGCGAAAATTGCATCACAATGGATATAACAAGCCATTCTTCGTCCACAATGAGCATTTACTGATCATTTTGGTATACGTCAGTTCAACATCTTATGGCGCGCGACAGTTTACGTCTCGCCACGAGTGCGGTAATCAAAACTCCCACCTGGCGCTCTCCGAAAGCCGCCTGCCAACATGCGTGTGGGAGAAAGTCTCGCTGCACTAATGGACTCTCCAGCGCAGCAACTCGGAGGAGGGTGCGCGTCAGCCGGCCTCCCCACTCCTGTAGAACTCGTTTACCCGTCCGCGCACCTGACCTCCTTCTCCGGGTGGAGGAGATTGTGTTTGTGAAAGAGCAACACCACCTCTATCAGTCTCTGCCGCTAGACACGAAATGGACAACAGCAGCGGCAAACGTAAGCGCAAAAATATAACAGTCGAGCATAAGTCGACAATGTTGAAAGCCTGGCGTCAAGGGCAAAGATTTCAGCGATGTCGCCAGTAGGTGCCACGGTCGACCAGGCCCAGACGTGGGACGCTCTCCTTGACGCCAGCGTGGCGCCTGACTGCGACACGCGGTGACAACCGAGGAGTTGTCAGATGCGGAAATTGTGCCCGCGGTGACGGGCGCGCATGACGACAGTGACGAATGTGTCGACACCCCGGAGCCTAATGTAATGTGTAATGGTGTGTAACCCGGCGTATTGCCGCCCTCACAAGCGCTCGATGCGACAGACCTCGATGTGACAGACAGGAAGTTCATAATGTACATTGGCATAGCTTTCATTGTGTTTGACCAGGCAAACAGGGATAAATGAACCTTCAAACTCTCAATCACTGCAACACCATGCGTACGTGGGATTCGATAAACTTTTTCAGCGAAGGATTCGTGATGCACTAATATTAGTGACGTGACTTAATATTTGTACTTTAAAATGTGTTGTTGGGTGGTTTAGTCAAGTCCTGCTTCGCTTTGGATTACTGTCTGCCCCCTGAGCTTTCTTTTTTCGTTGCAGAACTGGCTGCAAAGTGAACTTTTTGTCGTGACCGAGAGCAAGAAGCTGGAGCACCACCTGGCTTCGCTTATTGACGAGCGAAAGACCATCGCCATGGAAATTCATATAGTTGAGAAGCAGCTGAAGGACCCCGACATGGTAGGCACTTAACAATAGGTGACATTTTTTTGTGCTTTTAGCTGATGTATGAACCATTCTGGGTAGCTGTGAAAGTTGACACTACGTACAGCAGAGTTCACTGTTAGAAGGAGGACACTAAACAGAAATAATTTTAGCTACTTCAGCTAACTTCCTTTAGCAAAATTTGTGTTTAGGTACTTTGGCTAGCTAGAATTTAATATTTCCACTATTCAATTGTCACTTACGGCAGCCTTTGCAGTGCCAGTGTTGCTTTGTGACATTACCATCACGAGTAAATCGGGCAGCTTCAGTGTTAATTGATACGTATTACTACAGCAGACTCTCTGTAACTCAAGCTCTGCCTAAATCGAACGACCTTCAATATGATTGGCTTCATACTCGAGTTAGGCACCCCCGTTTCAACTCTCACAAAAGAGAACTCCTGGGAACATGTCACTCATATTTTTTTTAATTTCTTGGTTGATTTTATTAAAACTTGGTGTACTCATGCATTGAAATTCCAGTCTGGAATTGAGTAACTTGCAAATGCTCAGCATACCATAAGTTTTGTTCCAGTGCATTTGGAGCATCTATTTTTGTTACACTCCTCTTATTTTACAAATTTCAGATTATTGTGATATGTTGATTTACTTTGTAACGCTGTTTAGACAAAATCTAGCTCCCCAAAAGTGACATGAAATACATTTAATATTGCATTTTAAAAACTGCACATTGCTTGAAAAATAAATATGCATTTGAAATCAACACGCTATTATCATGAAGTCGCCAAGTTTCATCAAATTATCTAAAAACTAGGAGCAGTGTTCTTTTTAAGTAAACATATTTTTCTGGTCCCTTCACGTTCCATTGAAAAAGGTACACTGTTATCTACAAAATATTGTTTTTGTTCCCCAAGTTTCATTGTTTGTTTTGTTTTTAAACAGAAACATTTTGCGCAAACACGACTTGTAGAATGTTGAGATTGGGCATTGTTTAGTATCTATTTTTTTATCAGTAAAATCCCATTCAATGCCTCAAAATTTTCTAATCAAATCGCTCCAGTTATCCTTCAGTCTTCAACTGACCATTCTTTTGCATGCCATGCACGTCTTCTTCAGGCGCAAGCAGATCGGGTCGAGCATGATGCACGTCTCCACGAGTTAAAGAGCGCCCTAAAAGAACACTATGACGATATTGCCAAGCTCCAACAGAAGATTCTGGATGTAGATCCTGGTGAGTTCAGCAGCCTCACTGTTTCCCATTGTAATACCGAGCTATACATTGTATGTAGGGACCTGATGACTTTTAAATCCATTTGATGTGTAATATTACAAATCTTCAAA